CCTATTCAAGGTGCTCCTGTTCTCAGCCATCATCGTGGCCATTTTCTCTGCCGGCCTCAAGTCCATCGAGCTCACCACCGACCCAGTGGAGCTGTGGTCCTCCCCCAACAGCCGCGCCCGTCAGGAGAAGGACTTCCACGACAGGAACTTTGGGCCATTTTTCCGGACCAACCAGCTGATCCTGACGGCCCCCGACAGAACGGGCCACGTTTATGATTCTCTGCTGTTCGGACGACTGAACCTGAGCGAAGTTCTATCCAAGGACCTCATCCTGGAGCTCCTGGCGCTCCAGCAACGAATACAGGTAAAAAAAAGGAAAATATTCAAAAAAATTTGCAAAGGTGGCCACTGTAACACGATGATTCCTGGTCATTCAGAACATCGAGTTTTGGTCGGATGACCTGAACCGCACGGCAAGTTTGAAGGACGTCTGCTTCGCTCCGCTGAATCCATCCGAGCCCTCGCTGAGCGACTGTGCCGTCAACAGTTTGCCGCAGTACTTCCAGAACAGTGTGGACAACATCAATAAGAAGGTGAACATGACGGAGCTGGGTGTGACCAAGGAGGTGGACTGGAGGGACCACCTCTTCTACTGCCTCAAGTAAGGTTTACCGAGTGAAGAACCAGTAAGAAACGATGGATTTCCTGGTTCTTCTGTGACTTAATTAGAACTTCCACCCTCTTCCTCCCCCCCACTCCCCTCCCCAGCTCCCCCCTCTCCTTCAAGGACATCACCGACTTAGATCTGAGCTGCATGGCAGACTACGGCGCTCCTGTCTTCCCCTTCTTAGCTGTGGGCGGCTACGAGGGTGAGTGACGTTCTTCTTCACTCCGCTCAGAAGGTTCTAGCGTTACTACAACGTCTTGTTTTTTTTCGTGACCAGGTGACGACTATACAAACGCTAAGGCTTTGATCGCTACCTTCTCCCTCAATAACTACGCCCGCAACAACTCCAAATTTAAAGTGGCCATGCAGTGGGAGCAAGAATTTCTCAAAATTGTTCAAGAATACCAGAAGAGCCCGAACAGCAATTTCACTTTCGCGTACATGGCAGAGGTAAAAAAAAAAGTCAACATTATCGCAACATATCGCAAATATACAATTGGAATAATCCTTAACTAAATAACCCTTGACTTCTCCGTGCTCCGCCACCACTGCGACACAGAGATCTTTGGAGGATGAGATTAACCGGACAACCGCCGAGGACATCCCGATCTTCATGATCAGCTACGCTGTCATCTTCGTCTACATTGCTGTGGCCCTCGGGGAGTACTCTTCGTGGAAACGCATACTGGTATGTAACATCTACCTTAATAAGCCGAGAAACGCGAACTTGACGCGATAAAATGCTACTGTTATTTTGTACGTGATTGATTAATTTAAGAACACAGCTAGTCTTTATGGAATGGAAAAAAATAGGATGCACATAAAAACTGTGAGAAAAATAATTGTGTTCAGGAAGGTCAAACCGGTCCTTATCGCAAGTGCAATAAAATGAAAACTCAAGTGCTGCGTGTTTGCCAGTTAAATTGTGCTTATCTTGGCAGCCGCAGGGATGTTTACGACCGTCTTCTGTTTTTGACAGTAAAACCTGATTAGGCAAATATATATATATGTATATATCGGAAGTAGAAGATTAACCGAGTCAAGTGAAAATCGTGTATTTGTTTTCTCCATTGATCTCCTCAAGGTGGACTCCAAGTTCTTGGTGGGTCTGGGTGGGATTCTGGTGGTGGGCTGTTCTGTGCTAGCCTCCATGGGCTTCTACTCCTGGATCGGCATCCCTTCTTCACTGGTCATCCTGCAGGTGGTGCCTTTCCTGGTTCTTGCCGTAGGCGCCGACAACATCTTTATCTTCGTCTTGGAATATCAGGTGAACATCGTGAGAGTAACTGTTGATAAGATGCGGTACCCAAAACCTCTAACCCTAACACTAAAAAATAAAGCCCAAAAAAGATAAGTAAAGTTAAGATTTTGACAAAAAAAAATTCAAAATGCTAAATTTTGATGAGAAACATGCAGAAAACATCAAATTTTGAAAAATAATCTTTAAAAGATTTTAATCAAAGTTTTTTCAACATCAGACCAATAATTTGGATTTTGCCGAAAAATTCCCCCCAAAAATTTCAAAACTTTATATTTTGATGAGAAACATGCAGAAAACATACAATTTTGAAAAATAATCTTTTAAAAATTTTCATCAAATGTTTTCAACATCAGACCAAAAATTTGGAATTTTCCAAAAAAAATCCCCAAAACGTTTTTCCAAAAAAAATATCAAACATGCAGAAAAAAAAAAATTTTGAAAAACGAAATTTCAAAATTTTGACCAAAAACAGACCAAAAATTTGGATTTTGCCAAAAAATTCCCAAAAAAAGTTTGTCCAAAAACTATTTCAAATCTTTTTTTGAACAGCTTTCCATTTACGTTAGGTTAAAAATGTGACATTTGCCACGATTAAAAAAAAAAAAGAAAACGTTTAAAAACCCGAACAAATCAAAGGTCACAGCGGTTGCAGGAATGAAATGTAGAAACGACAACTTTGAACCTGTTGACCGCCGTATCTCCACTCCTGCAGAGGGACGTGAGGAGGCACGGAGAAAAACGGGAGGAGCAGATTGGCCGCGTCCTCGGAAACGTCGCTCCCAGCATGCTGCTGTGCAGTCTGTCGGAGTCCATCTGCTTCTTCTTAGGTACGACCGTTTTCTGTTTTCGGCTTTACGAGGCGAGGCCTTGCTCATTTTTATACCATGTGATTGCCCGTGTCGTCCTTTCAGGGGCTCTGTCCACCATGCCGGCCGTCAAGTCCTTCGCCTTGTACGCTGCTCTGGCGGTCCTCATGGACTTCATCCTCCAGATCACCGCCTTCGTGGCACTGCTGTCGCTGGATGCGAGGCGGCAGGACAGCAACCGATGTGAACTGTTCTGCTGTGTCAAAGTTTCCGCTCCGCATAAGCCGAGCGAGGGTTTTCTGCTGCCGTTCATGAGGAAGTACTACGCGCCCGTCCTACTGCACAGATACACCCGGATCGTAGTGGTAAAAAAAACGCCTCAACATCGCATTGACCTGCCGGCTCATGCCGCGATCCTGTACGTGTTTGTCAATGACGCAACGTGTCGACTTCCTTTCTGCAGATGTTGGCCTTCATCTTCATGTTCTGCGCTTCTATCTTCCTCATGTTCAACGTCAAGGTCGGACTGGATCAGGAGCTAGCCATGCCGCAGGTCAGTAAACTCGACAGAGTAAAAAGATTTAAAAAAAATCTTGCTTACTTGTAACTTGGAAAATCTATTTTTCGGGTAGCTAGCGTCTTGTATACCGTACTGTTAGTCCTTGAGTCCTTTCTGTTTCTATGGCAGGATTCGTACATGTTGGACTATTTCAAGTACCTGTACAAGTACTTCGAGGTCGGAGCCCCTGTTTACTTTGTGACGAAGCGGGGCTACGACTTCACCACAGTGGAAGGCATGGACGGCATCTGCTCCAGCGTGGGCTGCGACCAGTTCTCTCTCACCCAGAAGATCCAGTACGCCACCAATTATGCTGACAAGTGAGTGGGGGGGGAGCGCAATTTTCTTTGCATTCTAATAATATTCACTGACACATCCTTGAACCTTGGGTCATCCTTGAACCTCGTATCGACCTACGACATACTAGCCAATCAGATGAGTTAATGATAAACTGTGTAGCGTGAATGCCACCTAGCAGATAACAGCAGCATCGACATCTGGTTGAAACACGCGGACCGAGAACCGACGCCCGTAAAACTGTCGTCACCGACAGCAGGAGTTTCCTGATCTGAATTTGTGACTTTAGCTGTTAGCATAAAGGAAGTAGCTGAAAGTATGTCTCTCTTGGTCATCGTGACCTGACGGTATTCCTATCGCTTACGATAACGAGAGGTAATCGGATCGATTATGATTAACAGCCCACATTTGTTTCCTTCTGATAAGATCGATCGCTATCACGTTTTCCTTGCGAACAACAAAACAGTTGTCCGGTTGCGGTGAAAACACATACGTTAAAAAAAAAAAAAGTAAAAAGAAATTTACAATTTTTATTCTATGAAATATAATTTAATTAATAAATATAATATAATGTAATTTTTTATCTTTTTTACTTTTGATATAAAAATATGACTCATATTTTCGTAAAAAAATTAAATTAAATAAAATAAGCCTCAAAAAACATTTTTTTTTCTAAGCACTAAAATTAAGCGCAAATTTGTCAGGTATGACATTATTAGCATAATTTAAAACGTAAATAAATAAATTAAGCGCATCGTACTCACCGAACCCGCTCATTAATCGTCATTTTCCGTTCTCCGTTCGTTCCCGAAAAATAGTTCAATTACGATGTTGTATACAGCTAAAGGTAAAAAAAAAAGTCCGCTCCGTAGGGGTGAGCTAGCACTTACCGCTACCTTTTAAAACAACCAAACAACGTAAAAATGCTAACATTGTGCTACACGATATAGACGACTCGAAACCGGAAATGTAGTTATTGTTGATTCCAAGCTACAGGAGCTAGCACTGTGGATTCTAAAGAATTTTATATTTTATAATTGGACAACATTTGCTATTTTTTTTAGGATTACGTACATTTCTATTTGAGGTTTTTTTTTTTTTTGCTTTTTTTGCTTATCTCCTTCCACCATAACGCGGTAGGATACATCAGTTTCAGCCGAGTCGTACTTTCTGCTTCGAGTGTGTGCTCTCGTTAGCTCGAGCTACGTCAATTAGCATTATCGCTAACAGGAGACCCTGTTTATTAGTGCGTTTTTTGCCCTCAACATTTTTTTTAAGTGTCTCTATTCCGATATTTACAGAAATCAATTTAATTCTACGCTAACAATTTCAAAAATATTTCCGAAGTTGAGTGTTTCCTGTTTCCTAACAACGCGACCTCAGGTCCTACCTGGGCATTCCCTCCAACTCCTGGGTGGACGACTTCATTGACTGGTTGAATCCCGGCTCCAAGTGCTGTCGCCTGTATTCCTTCGGACCAAACGCCGGGAAGTTCTGTCCCGCGAGTGAACGTAAGAAGCAGTGCCGCAGAGGTGTCGCGATCAACGACGTTTCTCTGGCCGACTCTGACTCTCTCTCTCTCTGTCCTCCCTCAGCCTCCTTCCTGTGTCTTCAGAAATGTGTTCCCCCTCCGCCCGACGGCGTCCTCAGACCCACCGTTGAGAAGTTCAACCGCTTCCTCCCCGACTTTCTGGGCAATAGGCCGGACCTACAGTGTCCCAAAGGGTGCGTACCGCCGGCTGCTCACAGGCAGCGATGTCTCGGCAGCGGGACGACAGTGAACCTGATTTCATCCTCTCTTTGAACAGGGGTCTCGGAGCCTACGACACCGCCGTGGTCCGAGATGGGAGCGGAGAAATTATAGGTACTTTTTTTTTTTCGTGGATTTACGCTAGCAACCTCAGCGTAAATCATCGCTGGTATTCGCTCGAAACCAGGGCGTCCACACTTTTTTGGCACAGGAGCTAAAGTGATCGACCTACATTGAAAACATTAAAATATATTTACTAATATAACGTAAATGTACTTTATATACACATTATTTGTAGGGATGCCCAATATTGAATTTTTTCTGATATCCGATATGCCAATATCGCTCAGACACTCCGATATCAATCAATATCGATATTTGCAGACGTGTTTCCCCCCAAAACTGTGGTAAACATCTCAGGAACCCACAAGCGATTCCAGCACTTTTTGCAAAAACCGAGGGATTGGGTTATTGGGTTTCATTATCGGAGGAAAAAACGATAACGATTCTTACAGAAATTACATAATTATGCTAACATCTGGCCGACGAGACGACACTTCTCTAATTATGTTTGGGTACTGATTGCAGTAATTATGTGTAGTTGTCTTACAGTATATGGTTAGTATTACACAGTATAGAATTTTATTTTTGTGATTGTGTAATTGCGATCTACTGGTAGATGAAGTAAAGAACTGTAGCACATGAAAGAAAAGAGTTGCGGGTAAAGGATTCGATGAAGAGAATTGTAGTTCGGTAAACATCCATCCATCCATCCATCCGTCTGTCCGTCCGTCCATCCATCCATCCATCCATACATCGTTAACCTTTGACATCCAACATCCCGTCTTCGCAGCCTCCCGCTTCATGGCGTACCACACTCCTCTGACCAACTCCCAGGAGTTCACGGCTGCACTGATCAAGTCCAGAGAACTGGCCCTCAACATCACCCGGAGCATGAGGCAAATACCGGGCACCTCCCCCGACTTCGAGGTCTTCCCATACACGTACGTAGCTCGCGCCCGCAAGATCCGTGGACTCGCAAGGGTGAAGTTGTTCTTCTGACCGCCTCGTCTCCTCTCGCTCTGTCGCAGGCTAACCAACGTGTTCTACGAGCAGTACCTAACCATCGTACCCGAGGGCCTCTTCAACATCTCCCTGTGTCTGCTGCCCACGTTCGTGGTGTGCTGCCTCCTGCTGGGCCTGGACATCCGCTCCGGGCTGCTCAACCTGCTGACCATCGTCATGATCGTCGTGGACACTGTGGGGGTCATGACCTTGTGGAGCATTGACTACAACGCCGTGGCGCTCATCAACTTGGTCACGGTGGGGCGATCATCTCGATTACAGTACTGCATTCCAAATATAAAAGGTACACAATACTGTACGTCACATACTGTGTGTCCTGCGTGCAGGCGGTGGGAATCTCCGTGGAGTTCGTGTCGCACATGACGAGATCGTTCGCCCTTAGCACCAGGAGGACCCGCGTAGAACGGGCTATGGAGGCCACGGCCAACATGGGCAGTGCCGTAAGTACTTGAAGTACTGCGCTCGTTGAGTACAAAGTAACTTCATAAACTATAAAAAAAAAAATCTAAATTGCTCTTCTAAACATCCAAATATTTCAATATATACAATATATTTTATATTTTATATATTTTTTCTGTATAATTTTTATTTAATATTCAAATTACACACAGTGTAAAATCAACAAAAAAATTGTGCGACATTTCTTCTGTGGACCCTCAAGGGTGCCGCTGATCTCGTATTGAAAGCCGCTAGCATATATTTTATATTTAGTTTATATCGTCCTTCATCTTTAATTGCTATATTTTTAGTTTTAAATTCAAATTCTTACATTAACCCAGGGTTTTTTTTCGTACAGTTTTATTTGAATTAGCTAAGTATTTGTGAAGTAAAGCAAGTCAATTTTTTTTTTCGGTTTTTCCTTAAACATTTTTCCTTAAGAAACTTCCTTCCTTCCTTCCACCTTAAAGAAATGCTAAACATAAATTTCAGTTCTTTTCATTCCCCAGGTTTTTGCCGGCGTTGCGATGACCAACCTCCCGGGGATCCTGGTGCTAGCGCTAGCCAAAGCCCAGCTGATCCAGATTTTCTTCTTCCGACTGAACCTCGTCATCACGCTGTTGGGAATGGCCCACGGACTCATATTCCTCCCCGTGCTGCTCAGCTACTTCGGTATCGGAACCGTCGGCAATTTAGTTAAAAATAATGATAAACTCGCACGAATTGAAGAAAGACGCCGATACTTTTTTTATAGCCATCTGCTGCCACCTAGTGGAGTATAACTATTATTATTATCAAATATGGTGTTTTTTTTCCTCTCTCGTTACGTCAGGTCCCGGTGTCAACAAGGCGGTTCTGCTGCAGCAGCAGCTGGAGAAACAGAAGGCCAATCAGGAGCCGGAGCCGCAGAGACACGTCTACGACAACATGGCCTACCGAGCCAGCGACGCGAAAGAGGAGGCGGAGTCCAACGGTAATCCGTTTGCCGCGAAAGACACGAACGCGAGTTCGATCGCGGACGCCGAGGAGAGAGTTGACCGTTTATGAGAGGCTATGCAAGAACGGTTGACGGCGAGTTTTACCTACCTGACAAACTGGAAACAGACGGCGGCAACTCCGCCGCAGACGGACTTCAAGGACCGTCGACAACAACCATCAACTCAGAGTTGTGCAATATTTCTGAACAATGCAATAGCACGAAGAGAGACTCCGGCGAGAAAGAGAACAAATGTTCTAGAATTATTTTTTATTTTTTTTAAGTGATTTCTTTTTTTTTTTTTTAAGGTGGAACCTTTAAACTTGCACCGTTTCAGGTGATTTCATGAAACGCACTCCAGCACTTCACCTGATAGTTGATAAAATGTGCAATCACTCAAAATATTTTTATTATACGAATAAATATTCTTATTAATAACACGTTGTCAAATTTGTGTTTGTGACTTGTAAAAAAAAAAAATTTTTGATAAAAAAAAAAAATTATGTATCAACATGAGAACTTCTGAGTAAAAATATTTCCACAATTCCGAAAAAAAAAAAATTTTACAGTAGTCCCTCGTGATATCGCAGTTCATCTTTTGCAGATTCACGATGGTTTTTGAAAACCGCATCGATCGGTCCAATTTCGCGACAAAATTTTGCGACAAAATCGACGACGTCGTGACTGCCTACGGGCTAGTCTTCGACTGGGAAAAAGAAGCAACAAAAGCAACTGCCGATCGCAATGTTTTTGCAGCCTCGCAAAAAAAGGGCCGGTTCCTGCTACTACTACTATGGATACACCTTCGGAAACCGTGGAAGAGGTGCCCCGAGAAATGGCACCACCCTGTGGAGAGACGTAAAATCAATCATCGGCCGCACGGTAAAAGTCATCATCATTTTACTGCGCATAAATATGGTGTCACTACTTCGTGAAAATTAAGTTTCCTCATAAACGAAGGGCCGCTGTCAAACATTTTAAACCAATCCGATACTTGGTTTTCAAATTTAGTTTTATTAACAATGTATCCCTTTTGATAGGATTGTACGTTTCTCTGGGTCGACGCCCGGAAAACATACTGTACACATTAACAAGGGAAAACACGATTCAGGCAGAAAAGAAAAAAAACAACAACAAAAAAACCAAAAAAAACCCAAATTAAATTATAATACAGTCTCGAGGAAAAAATATAAATAACCTTTTTTTCTTCTCTGGTCGAGCTCACTCTATGGTACAGACATAATAAATAGATCTGCTCTGACATCATCACTCAGCTGATCTATAAACCCTCTCTCTGAGTCTTTTTTTTTTCGTAGCAGCATTAGAGCAAAAAAAAAACAAAATAAAAAAAAAATACAAGCCGATGGAAACGAGCGTTTCCCTGGGAATCCACGCTCTAGCTCTCTCTCTCTCTGTCCACCACGCCACCCACAGACTGACAGTGATATTGCATTGGGGGGGGGGGTTCGCAAGTCCAAGAGACGGAAGGGAAACGCGCCGGGGGCGATGTTCCACATTTGACATGCTAGGTCGTGCATGCGGCAGAGGGCGAAGCGCGTGGGTGAGAAGGCGGAGTCCGGCGCCTCCAAAAGTCCACCAGGGGACTAGTAGTACTACGGGTGGAAAGGAAGTCATGGACGAGGGCCCCCCCGCGGCCCTCCCGCCTCCGCTCCCCCGCATCACTCATTTATATCAAAGCGGTGGCTGGGGGACAAAGCAAAGGTCCAGAAAAGGTAGAGGATGAGGTCATGCTAATCTCACGTACTCAGTGTGTGTTGCCGTGCTTCGGGGGTCGGGGTAAGAGGGGTCGGGGGCGGAGTCAAACAGAAGTGATGTCTGATTGTCAGAGATACAGGAAATACAAAAAGGAAGTGGCCGAGAAGCAGGAGAAGCAGAAGCACTAATCGGGTCGCAGGTCAGGGAAAAATAATCAAGAATTCGTGGAACCTCCCTGTTCCAAGAATTCTTGATTATTTTTGTTGTTGTTGTTTTGTTTCTGAACAGCAGGATTCCTCATTAGTGTTCGTCATTGGAGAGGTTCGAGGAATTGCTGCGGCGACGCGACAACATGCTGTATTCTCATCATGACAGAAAAGGACAGAACTTTGATCCAACTTCTTTTTTCTTTTTTTCAAACCCCCGTCTTTGTTTCCGGGATCCGATTTATACTGACGAAGAAGAACAAATCAGTCCGACCACAGTATTTGGTTAAGTGCTCTCCCGTGTTCCTGGTTAGAAAATAAAAAAAAAAGTCTCAGACAGCATTAGGCGTGTTTGGGTTACAGACGCTGGAGTTCCTTTGTCCTGCCTGTAGGGGGGGGAGTCGAGCAGCGACCGGATCTTCACGGGTCTCCGTTTGGACCAAACGGAAGCGCTTAGTCTTAGCGGTTGTTCTGTGGTCGTAGGGGAGGCAGGAGAAGGGCTGTGCAAAGATCACTAAACCGAGGGAGGGAGGAAGGAGAGGCGGGGAGGCGGGTAAGGGAGGGATCAGGACTCGGTCACCGGGTCAGCATCCTCCTGGACATGTTTTGGTGGCTTCGTCAAGATCGCCTCTGCTTCCTCGTACATCTAAAAAAAAAAAAAAATTAAATTAAAGTGCAACCCAAAAAAAAACTCAGGTAGGTCTCAAGAATTTTTTTTTTAATTATTTTTTTGGGGGGTTGTGTCGCATCACGTTTCCCAGGGGTTTACGAATAATTTCTATTGACTTGAGTCGTCGAAAGTTTGCGATTTTTAAAAAATATGGGTCGCCCAGAAAACTAGTGGCAAACACTGATATAGGGATACGATACGTATCGCGATACAGGGGGCAACAATATGATATATTGAGATATATTGCGATGTCACTTACTGGCATGAATTGCACGTCCTGGAAGAGCTCCTGTATGAAACGCCTGGACGTCAAGCGAAACATGCAGTGGGCCAAGAGGTGTGATACCTCGGAGTACAGGCAGATGTCATCAAAGGCGTAAGAAAACTTCTCCTTTATCCTGAAAGGAGACAAACGGGGTTAAAATGCAGCGCTGCTGTTATCGGTGATAGTAGGTTAAAGTTTTACGTAAGGAGAAAGGTTTTTTTTTTACGTCAGCAGTCCTGTTTCGTGACCTTTGGTTCCCACGGAGGAACTGAGATTGATGATAAGTCGGAGGACCTCCTTCCTCAGCAGCACTCGGGAGGCGGGGCCGTCCTCCGATATCGCTTTTCCGTCTGAGGGAGACGCAAAACAGAGTCGTAAAAAATTCGTAAACATTTTTTCCATCGTTGTCGGCGTTTATGGAACAGTGTTAGGGGTCAGTCAAAATGTCCGGAGACAAACCGAAATCCACTTCCTTTAAATGTATGGCTAAGAATCATATCCTCTTGCAGACCACTAAGGGGCGCAAAAGTAATTTACAATTCAGAGCTGGTTCTCAAACTTTTTTACACTCCTGTACCACCTGAGAAAACATTGATCTCTCCAAGTACCACCACGATGACAGACGTTCGCATATATTAGCTGTTAGCTTCCTCTTTCGTAATCTCACAAGTAGCTACGCGCTTTTTTCTAGATGTCGTATTAATTGTTTCAGATTTATTCAATTGAAAATGTAAATGTGAAAAGATGAATTTTCTCTCGCGTACCACAGTTTGAGAACCACTGATCTGGAGCATTGATGTTATAATTCAGATTTCGGATTCGGATTCAGCTTCAGGTGTGAGTTGAACCTACCAATGACGATGTCCGCCGGTGTGGGTGTGCTGCAGATCGAACCCTGCGACACCGCGGCGTCGCTGCAGCCCGACACCCCCGAGAACTTGGACTGAGGCATGACCTCCAGACGATGGCCGCTCTGGCCCCCCCAGGACGGAAAGTCCACGTAGTCTGTCGGACCAAAAAAAATTTTTTTTTAACATTTCGGAAAGTCAGGTTAGCGGTGTGTGTGTGTGTGTGTGTGTGTAGACCCACCCGTCCGGGGGTGTGTGCTGTTCAGCTGTGGTTGAGTGGGGTACCCCAGAACAGAGGCCCCCACACAGTACAGGCAGTTTTCTTCACAATGTTCCTGCAGTCCGGTCTCCTCCGAGCCCACCATGTGGTTCTGACCCTCGCCTCGGCACGCGATCAGCTCTGTGATGCTGAACTGCTGCTTCAGGACCGGAACAGGACGGTCCCCTGCACAGAGACATGGGTGTGAGCATCAAAGAAAGGTAGTAATAAAGAAAATATTAGGGATGTCCGATAATGACTTTTTTGCCGATATGCGATCCGCCGATATTGTCCAAAATACTGATTTATATATATATATATATATTTATATATATATATATTTATATATATATATATATATTTATATATATATATATATATAAATATATATATATATATATATTTATATATATATATATATATTTATATATATATATATATATAAATATATATATATATAAATATATATATATATATATAAATATATATATATATATATAAATATATATATATATAAATATATATATATATATATACAACCATATTCTTACAGAAATTATGCAATTATGCTAATATCTGGCTGATAATATCGGTCGGACAATATTATCGGACATCACTAATAAAAACGTCAGGTGGCAACACTAAGCACTCCTCACCGTCTCCGTCGCCAAACAGGAAGCGTTTCCGCTCCTCCGATGGCGGACTGATCCTCTGCTGAAAGTAGGACATGTCTCTGATGTGGAACATGTCGTTGATGTCCATGGGCAACGCCAGGCCAATGTAATCGTCCTGGCACCCAAAGGTGGCGCTGGAGACCATGGAGCGCACAGAGGAGCAGCGGTGCAGCGTGCTTTGGTTGATGGGACTGAGGAGCTCCTCCTTGTCCAGGGAGGCAAAGCTGAGCGCTTTGAGAAACCTGGACAGAGCAAGAGGAGAGGAATGTGAGAGGAGCCGGGGGGAGGGAAATGTGGGATGAAAGCACAGAGAAGTGTTGAGTGAGAACCACACCTATCATGTTCCACAAACCCTGACACCAGGGGGAGACAAACACAGCCCGAGACACTGAAGCGGTAGTACAGTTCCTGTAGGGGGAACTCCCAACAGATCAGTAAAGAAACATTCCGGTATTTACCCTGTGAGGAGGTTTGACCTGGATGAGTGAAAACTGAGAACCACCTTAGACAGAACCTACGAGGAAGCTAATGGTTTTGCATTCCTTCCCTCAGGTCACGCGATCGAATATCCGTAAACGTCTCACCTTGTTGTTCTGACGGCTTCCGAACAGCGACTGTGTCACTGGAGCTGTTGTCAACGGACAACTAAATGCAGTGAGAGTGAAGATCAGTGACACGGTGGCAGTGCGGTGGCGGCTACTGTGCTATCGGTTGAAGGCTCATGACATTTTCAAAATAAAACATCCTTTAGACTCTTGTCTGTGAGTATCAGAGTCTGAATGACCTTTGACCTGTTGCACCAATTGACCTACGGACCGGCACCGGTCCCCAGACCGGCGGTTGGAAACCCTCAGATCTAGGAATGACCTGATGACGTCTTAGAACCACAGCTCGGAGTCTGACGGACAGTTTTCCTGACACTAGATTTTTGAACTGCCTCCAAAATAGTTCCACCGATAATAGATAATTAGAGAAATGTATTTGCGCTACTAAAAAAACACGTTCGTTGCTCCTAATTGTCAGGTCAACAAATCGATGAGTTCACCGCTACTGATTCAAACGTTGTCATTTCAACACAAGAGCCGATCTATCAATCGTTGATATCTTGATGAGGTCACAGGTCAAAGGTCAAGGGGGTCCGACTGTCAACTACTGGGAAACACTTGGGAATTCTCAGACTACTGCACTACCAGGAGTAAATTAACACCACGACTAGCTTTTATGGCTAAAGCAACGATTGACTCAAAGCGAGGCTAAAAGCAACGCGTCTACTTAGGAGGACGAGGGGTCAGTCAACCCACCACGGCCCGAAAGTTCTGGACAGCCTGCGGCAAGGATTCGGGACTCCGGTCTCGGGACAAGTTCCCCTCCTGTCCGATATCCTGCCAAACGCAGCAGGAGTTGCACAAAAAAGAGAAACACAGCGACACCTGTCAGTGCCAACGCTGAACTGAGGCAGAAACAGTGACCGGACACAATGTGGGTCTGAGATCACACCCCCTTGAGGCCAGTGGCTGAATTACCTGCGAGGTGTTAACCTGGAGTCCAGGCTGCCGGTCTTCATAGTGATGGTGTCGGTGAAGAGCACGTCTTTGGCCGGTGAAGCTAGCGCCTCACTGTGGGACAAAGACGGGTGTATCCTCTGTTGCTGCAGCCTCTTCAGGGTGGCGTAGCCCAGGGCGTCTCTGGGACTGGTGTACATGAAGCTGCAGTCCGCCAGGCTCTTGATGGTGGTCACCGATGGGGACTTGAGCGATTGGGCCCGGCGGGGGAGTGTGTGCGAGGAGCCGGGCGGTACCAAAAAGACGGCGGAAGACTTGGACATGGACATGTAGTTGGACTGGGGCTGCGGCGTGAGGGAAGAAAAGGTTTTGACAGTCTTGGCCGACACCACCGTGTTGAGGCTCACGCAGTCTGAGGAATCCGGTTCGGGCTCGGGGTGCTCCGGGTTCCCCACCGTTTCCCGAGACGGACTAGAGCTCATGGAACTGATACCACTAGTCGTGGTGTCTGTGTTAAAGCTCTGGCTGCGGCTTTTGAACTGACTGCCGCCGGTGACGCCTCCTCCGCTCCCTCCGCCGCCGGAGGAGGGGCCGCCGCTCTGCTCCTTCTCCCGGCCGGGGTGTTCCACAGGCCCCTGCCCTGCAAGGACACTCAGAGCAAAGCCGGACCCCCCTCCCCTCACCAGTCGCCCATCCACAAGGTGCTCCTCAGAATTCCCCCGGTTCCCGACAAAAGACGTCTCCACGCTGACCGTGGGACTCTTGGGCATGCCTCTGCCATTGAAGATGGGGGTAAAGACGTCCCCCTGGGTCGTGCTGTAAATTGAGGGTTCGGTCACCGTCCTGTTCCGCCTCATGCTCCCGGTCTTGAAATCCGTAGGGGTGTGGGATCCGGACGGCGTCTTGGGGTCACTGGTAGATCGCAGTTTTTTGCTGGGAAGAGAGAGCGAGTTCAGGAAACGGGTGCGCACGAAGCGCGTGGAGGCCAGGATGGTGAAGGGGCTGCGGTCTTTGACAGGTTTAGGGTGCAGATAGATGGAGGACTCATCGGATTGGTCCAGAACGTCACACTTGTCGTCGTCCATGATGTACATGTCTGAAAGAGTAAGGAAAAAAAAAAAAAAGGATGAGAACCACAGCGGCAGACGGACGGAGTCAACGACTAGGAGAACGTCTTACGTACTGGGCTGCGATTCGCTCTCGCTGTTGTGACGTGAGCCGGTGGACTCAGAGTTCAGGCTGAGCGTGCTCGGCACGGAGGAGAGTTCAGATGTCAGCTGGGCATCAACCTCGTCCTGAGTGACGGGCCACAGCGTCCTGCGACTATGTCGGACGGCATCCCACCCGTAATGTTTGAGCACCTCGCAGCCCTGCCGGGTCTTCGATATGACGCCCAGCACGTACACCGACGTCCTGCGGAGGGAGACGCACTTGGGTCATAAACAACCGACAATCTGTTGTTCAACCGATTACATTTTTAATCCAATTAGGTACAACTGTGGATTAGTCATGATTAATCACGATTAATCAATCGAGATAAATTGAAATCTCTAAGCATGAGAGGGGAAACAAAATGATAACAATTAATCGTGATTAATCACATCAATCACGATTAATCGAGACATATCAACATCCTTAAACATGGAGGAAAAATAAAGGATTGCAATTAATCGTGATTAATCTAATCAATCACGATTAATCATGATAAATCATCATGCCTAAATATTACCGGGGAAAAACAGAAGAAAATGATTACAATTAATCGTGATTAATCAACATCCCTAAATATAACCAGAAAAAAAGAAAATGATAACAATTAATGGTGATTAATCACATTATTCACGATTAATCGAGATAAATCCACATCCCTAAATATTACCGAAAAAAAAAGATAATTAATCGTGATTAATCGAGATAAATGAACATCCCTAAATATGAGGAGGAAAAAAAATTATCACATTTAATCGTGACTAATTACATAAATCATAATTAATTTACATAAAATATATATATATTAATATATATATTTTTAACTATGTATTTCTGGTTGGGTTGATGGTGGAATTGTAAATACAGTGTACAACACTTGGCTAATGTGTTCAAATGTTTGAAAAATGTCAATCTAATTAATTTGCCTAATTAATATTTTCGTCTGACGTGATTTAAATGTGCAACCAATCAAATGTGGGAATCTGGGCAATAAAGTATTAAAAAAAAAAAGAAAAAAAAACAAACTCACCCTCGTACTGACAGAACCTCACAGTGCTGTGCTAAGGTGATGATGTCGGGGATGACGTTCTCCTCCTGCAAGAGGTTCAGACCCCAGTTCGAGGAGCCGATGTTGGCCTGGGGGAGAACAACAGAACAGTCGACACATGAGCGAAGCTCTTTGTAGCAGCGGGAACACCGGTGTTCCGGCTCCGGCGTAACTCACCAGTGCCCAGAGAGACGCCTTCAGCTGCTTGATGCCCTCCCAGGTGTCCAGCATCGGGGAACGAACTGTGTAGCTGAGGTCGGGCACCACGCTCTGATCGGGAAAAAAAAAATGTAAAATGAAATTAAAAATGAGTGCAATTTCCCGAAAGTTAAATAAATTTAAGTTGAAATTAATTTGCCCTGCGGCGCCCTCCCTTAAGAAGCTCCAAGCCCCCCACCTTGGGAACCACAACAGGTTGCAGTTGTTTCCAGAACTTGACGATCTTTTATATTTGCAGTAAACCTCACTCCTGACCAAACATATATTTGACAAAAAAAAAACTGCAAACTTTTTATTTTTATTTTACCTGGGCTTCCAGCAGATGGCAGCCTGTCTTGTCATGGACCAGCTGACCATACAAGTGAACAGGAAGGTAGACGTTTGGCCTTTGTAACCTACGAACCAGAAATTTAAAACAATTTGAAAAATTAAAAAAATTTGAAAAATTAAAAAAAAATTAAAAACTTTTAAAAATTTAAAAATATTTAAAAACACAACTCGTAATCATATATTTGCAGTACAATCGTGTAAAAAAAAAAAAAATTCCTGTTCACTGTCTCCACCTTTGGTTGCTGCGTCTGACGTAGTTGTCTCCATCCACGGGTTTTCTGTAGGTGGTCAGAGCTTCGTTGAGCTGCTCCTCTATCAGGTCCACGTACTTCAGGTTATATTCCTTCGAACGGATCAGGAGACAAAAGTCACGTTGTAAATGAAATCATATCAAAATAATATTTTTAAAAATGTGTCCGTTTTCTTTTCCCTACCTTTTGCCATTTGTCCAGCTGCTTGCTGACGTAACCTCTCTCGTTGAGGTAGGAGAAACCTTTAGGGATGGACAGGAACCTAAAGAGCAGAGACGGGGAAAAAAAAAAAAAAAAAAAGACAGAATGAAGATCAATGTTAAAATTTTGTAAACATGACGAGAAAAACTTAAAAATTAAAAAAAAAAAAAATTCTAACCTGAGAAGCAGCAGCAGGCCTTTGTCTCCCAGATGGGACAGAGCTGGTTTTAACTGGATGAGAGCGTGAAGGTTTGCCTGTGAAGCAGCAAACATCAATTACTTGCAATTTTCTTTGTTGTTCGTTGCGTTTTCTCACACAGATCTGACTTTTCTAGCAAAAAAAAAAAACTGGATGCATTTTCACCCATCACCATTAGGGGGCAGCTGACGCACCCGATGATCAGTGACTGGGGACGGTGCTGTTCTCAGAGCACCTCAGCGGCAACTTTTACAGCCGGTGTACTCAAACCTGAAACCCTCCAGACCCAAGTCCGCTTCCTCAACCGCTGCTCTGTGTTTTGTAGTGACCCGGCTGCCCCCCCCCTCCCCTCACCTTGTCCTCACAGGCCTCGTCCAGTATGTCCAGCGCCTCCATGGACACGGCCTTGCTGTGGTCGTGCAGCTGTGTGACCAGCAGCTCCATGCCCCAGCTGCTGAAGAAGTCCACGCCGGCACGCAGCAGCACGCGCAGATGTTTGGTGGCGTACAGTCTGCACGTCTGCACCCGCCAGGCATTGTGGGAAAAAGAAGAAGAAAAAAACGTCACCAACAACAACAATATTAGATACTAGATCTGGACCAGGTGGTCCTGTACCAGTTCCATAGGGTAGTGTTTAGCGTGCCTGCCTCGGAAGTCCTGGGTTCGATTCCCAGAGGAACCACACGCTAGGTGCAGCCTATTATTGCAACAATTTCCCAAATATGGGATAAATATAATATATAGGACTGTAGTATTTATTTTATTAATTATTTTTAAAATTTTTTTGCTAACAATTACGAGTCGAACATTCATGCTAGCGGCTCATTTTTATTCAGTGATTATAAACGTAAAAACCTCAATGTATCGTAGTGCCACAGTATATCACGATATATCGTATTGTCCCCAATGTATCGTGATACGCATCGCACGATTCTTTAACTGCAGACACCACAGACATTACTATTATTACCGTATTTTTCTGACTATATAGCACACCTGAATATAAGCCGCACCCACTACCTTTTTTAAAACAAAAAACTATAAATTTACATATATAAGCCGCCGATAAATCATACAAACTTCTTCGTGTGTTTTCCACAATGAGGGGATGGAGGGTGTGAAAATAATTTGGTGTCATGCGCGTTGTGTTGCAAGTGCTAAAAAAAAAACTAGCGTGTTCTTCTTTGCACCGACTTCCGCTGTCTGTCTCATTTTTGCACTTACTGCTAGAACACCCCCTGGTGGCTGAAGAAGAAAAATCCATGGAAAAGCCGCACCTTTGTATAAGCCGCACGGTTCAAAGCGTGGGAAAAAAGTAGCAGCTTATAGTCCTGGAAAATACGGGATACAGTAGTCCCTCGCTATTTTGCAGTTCATCTATCGCAGATTTGCGGGTTTTTGAAAACTGTATATATAAAATATACTGTATTACGGATTTGGCTCCACGAGAGATATCACAGAAATGGGACGACGATACGGTTCGATCGATCCAATTTTGCAAAAAAAAAAACAAAAACACGACGATGTCTTGCTAGCTAGCAAGCTAGTCTTCGACTGGAAAAAAAAAAACAGCGGAAGCAACTGCCGATCTCAATGTTTCTGCAGCCTCGCAAAAAAAACGCTGGTTCCTGCTACTACTACTGACGGATACACCTTTCAGAAACTGTGGAAGAGGTGCCCCCAAAAAACGGCACCACCCTCTGGAGAGAGGTAAAAGTAAAAGTCATCGTCACCTTCCTCATCATCATTTTAATGCGCATAAATACGGCGTCGCTACTTCGCGGAAATTTGGTACTCGCAGCAGGGCCTTGGAACCTATCTACCGCGGTAAACAAGGGACCAATGTATACCAACTGTACTCTTGTGTTTGTTTTCGTGTGTGTTTGTAGCCTTACATCAGTAGCAGCGGTCAGGATCTTAGACAGGATGACTCTGGCCAGTCCATCTCTGCTGTAGTCCAACGTGGTCACGGCGAGTTTGAGCACGGCGTCCTGGTTCTTCACAGAGCAGAGACTCAGCAGGCTGCAGAGACCGATTAAACCGTGCATTTTAAAAAACAACAAACTTTTATCGAACCGGGGTCTGATTTTTTTTTTTTCGATCACCCACCACTGAAACAGGCCACATTTCTCCAGCAGTTTGACCCCCTGCGGGTGAGCAGAGAGCGTCCCCAGGAAGAGGAAGTAGTGTTGGCTGAGGGTGACCACCAGGCCGTTACTCTGCAGAGAGCGCTCCGGCTTCAGTCCCGAGGACAGGGACAGCCAGGACACCATGTCCCTAACCAGGTCTTCCAGGTAACCTTGACCGTCCTGAAGGAGAGGACAAACAAAAATTAAAAAATTTAATTTTTATTAATGAACAAAAACAGACCGAAACACAGGCAGGAATCAGGACCTCACCTCATCCGAGTCCATGAGGAACTCCATAAACTGACACCCGACGACGGTCAGCTGTCTTGCCTTGGCGTGATCCAATGCTAGCCCTGCGTACAGTTTACTGCTGGGCTTATAAAAGTACAGCAGCCTCCGCACAAACCTGCGTCACAAAAAAAAAAAAAAAAATCACATTACCAAAAATGACCTGTAGGTTTCTGACAATTTGTGATTTGAAGGTTTCGTACCTGTGCATTTGTTCGTCTTTGTTGTTTCTGAGGTTTACGTTTGGCCACTATTTGATGCGGGGAGAAAAAAAAAAACGTGATCAGGATTTAAGCAGGAAAAAAATACAATAAAATTCATTACAAAAAAATATAAAAATAATTTTAAAATAATAAAAAATATTTAAATATTTTAAAAATATATATAAATATTAAAAAAATACATTACCGTATTTTCACGACCATAAGGCGCATATAAACGACTTAGATTTTTTTCAAAATGTGCGGTGCGCCCTATAGTGCAGTGCGCCCTATGTGTGTGTTGTAAGGCGAACGTGATAGAGACCACCTTGAGGAGGACGTGGTAGAGAACATGAGAACGTTAAAGAGGGGATGTGTGGGCGTGGATTGTGTATAAAAGAACAGGTATGTGCTTTATGCAGAACATTGCTGTTTTAACAACCCTGAAAATGGCAAAGAGACAGGCTTATGAAGCTCGCTTTAAACTGCAGGCTATCAGCTACGCCGAGGAACATGGGAATCGAGCGAGAGAATATAAAATAAACGAGTCGATGGTTCGCAAGTGGAGGAAGCTGGAGAACGAGCTCCGACAGGTGAAGAAGACTCAGCTGAGTTTCCGCGGACATAAGGCGAGGTGGCCGGAGTTGGAGGAAAGACTCGAGCTATGGATCGTCGAGCAAAGAGCGAGCG